TTGAAGTGAGCAGCTGAGATTAGTCTGGGCACCATAGTTAGGCCTCATGTCAGAAAAAAAAAAAATTATTGTAGTAAAAACTGCTGGCTTTGATTCTGGTATCCACCTCGCTCTACTGGTTTGCTCCAGAGTGTGCTGATCCTATCTCCAGCTCGGGATGGGCCTTAACGGGCCTAAAACAATCGGATAAACCTCTTCTAACCATTGGTTAGTTACTTACTTATGGGTTGCCATTTCTTGCCACGAGGGTGGTTTAGACACTCCTGTGATCTGATTTGGTGTGAGGTAGAAAACAACACCAAGCTAGCTCTCCTTCGCAGCCTCCTTCGCAGAGGGTCAGCATGCAGATGCGGAACCCCGGGCAGGGCCTTTTGCCTCAGTGAAGGAAGTGGGCCTGAGCAGAACGCTGGCACCACGGCAGAAATGAAGTGGGACCTCTGTGACATCAGCGAGGACCTCTGTGACATCAGTGAGGACCTCTGTGACATCAGCGAGGACCTCTGTGACATCAGTGAGGACCTCTGTGACGTCGCTGCTCCGTGAAACCCTTAGACACCTCTGGACTGTGTGAGCACGTTAACACATCCCCTCGATGTGTGTTTCTGTTTGTGAGAAAGCTTCCTGTAGCGAGCCAGGCATGGCCACAGGCGAAATGCCTGTGGCACCCAGTGGGACTGTGGGAAAGCTCTCCAGCCCAAACCATCACAGACGGGTACTCATAAGCAGTGTGGTAGAGGGTCTTACAAGACAGGGCAGCTGGTTTAAACCAGTTCTGCCACTAAGCAGCACTGGGCTCTGGATAAGCTTCCCAACTGACCTGTCCTTGGCTCCTGAAAGGGAATGTCTAGTTCTTTTACATCAAGCCTTTCTACAGTTGCTGTTTCTTGTGGACTTTGGCATGCACTACAAATCAGCACTTATGTTATTTACTAATGACCGTAACTTGGCTGGGCGCACTGTGCTTGTCTGTGTATAATCCAGCTCTTGGGAGCCTAGGGCAGTGGAGCTGCGAGGCTGCACACCAAGCTCTACATCGTGAGACCCTGTCTGAGACCAAAAGGAAGGCTGACTGTGGGAGCCAGTTCTCGGGTTCCTCGTGGCTTTACCCAGCAGGTCCGCATAGAGGATGATCAGGACCACGGGCCTGAGTGCAGGTGTCTGAGATGGTCTGCACTTGGCCGTGCTGGGGGAGGAGGTCTTTTGCTCCACCCCTTGGCGTCTCTATAAAAACCCTGGGCCAGAGACAGTCGGGGCCCGTTGGAATAGGTTCCAGGCCCTCTTGAAGCTATCCTTTATTTTCTATCTTTATCTCCGCAAGATTCTCCGCTATAAATCCTTCTATCTAATATTTCCTGCTGCTCACACTCAAGAAAACTCTGGAGAGCTGTGGGGTTGGTGGGTAAACGCCCCACAGAATGGCACCATGAAGAGGGACTAGAGAAAAAAGAAAAAAAAAGACTAAAAAAGGGGGGGGGGCTAAAGACAAATGAACAGAGACTAAAGACAAAGTAATAGGGACTAAAGATAAAGGAAAATAATAGTTTTATTACAGAGTTTTTGGCAAAAGTGCTGAGTCAGTTCTGCCAGTGGAAAGGCATGCCGGTGTTATGGAAAAAAAAATATATAAAATAGAGAGGCAGGGGTTTTATCCTCAAGAGAAAAGAAAAGCAGACTAGAAGGATGTCTGATGCTGCAGCGAAATTCTCTTCTGTCAAAATTTTATGTCCCTTTCTCAATTTCTATCTGAAAAATAAGTATAAGGTATAGGGTAGTAATATAGTGTAGGAAAAACTTAGAAGTGTAAGATCGTGTAGGAAAAAAGTAAGGCAACTAGACAGAAAAACTCTTCAGTTTTCTAACTTTGGGGGCTATGAATGCAAACTAGGGGAAAAAATCTTTCTTTGGGCTTTACGGGTAGTAAAAAAGCTCTTCTCTGAGCTTATGGGGAAGAAAAAGTTTCCTATGGAAGCTTTTGACCTGGGAACAGCTGAAATGCTAAGTCCAAGCGGCAGGAGAAAGTAATTTCTCCCTGAGGCAAAAATGGGGGTGTAAGAAGTCAAAGTTTAAAGTTGGGAAGTTTTGGGAAAAGTTC